CGAAAAATTATCTCCTCTTTTCTCCTCTACTTTTCGCGAAGCCCCGACCGTATGTGCGTGCGTAGCCGCACGTGCAGTACTCGGGCTGGCTCGTTCACCGAATTAACGTTCCATTATGTAAAACGACGAATTTTCGTGCGTCGTCGCTACACGGCGTATGCAATTACGCGAGGTACACCATGTGTCAACTATTTCGAATATTTCTCGCCGCTATGAAACGACAATTTCGGTGTGTCGACTGGCGTACTGGAATATACAGATTTTTTAATCTTCATGGGCGCGTACATTCCGAGCTGTAGGAGGAGGTAGCGCCAGCGAGGAACTCGCTATTTAAGTCCAACCTATTTTCCGGCATGCGCACAATGAGCGAGTAACATACTAAGAGCCGGCAAGTATTCGCCCGGAGCCGGATTGTAAAGGCGGAGAACTGCTTTTCTCATTCATAATATATTGCGCGCCCACACTTTACCGCGATAAGCATTGCGTGCGTGTGTGCGCGAGAGAAACGGAAGAAAAAGTCAATCTTTAGTGCTGCGAAAGCACGTAATTAAGTATACGAATTTTCGACAAAAGGCAATAAATATGTCGGACGCAAAGTAACGGAATCGTTTATGGAAAAACTTTTTTCCAATCAATATTGCTACAATGCATATTTCACAATATTGCTAGATGCATATTTCAATTTTCTTATAATGTAGGAATATTGAGAGATCATCTTGCTAATGAGATCCAATAAAAAAGTGAAATTTAATTGTAACTTGAACTAAATACTAAAGTAAAGAAAGTCGAAGAAGTAGGCGATAATATGGACTACTAAGGAAAAATTCAAGAAACATTTGTAAATAACACAATCAATAAAGTGTATATCTTTTTATTCTTGAAAAAATATCGCTTATAATCACTGGATAAATTATTTAATATATTGAAAAAACTGCAGTTATTTATTGAAAAGTGTCACACATATCTTGTACGGGAAAATGAAAAATATAATTAGCAGAAAAACAGAAACATACATAATAAAATAAAATAAACATAACAAACAACAGAAAAAAAGAGGAACAAATTTGTCCCACTTTTTATGCGAATTTTTCAGATTATTAATTATTTACCTTTTTATTAGTTTATATTAACAGCACGTGTTGCATAACAAACAAAACTTTCCTATCACTAGAAAGATCAGGAATAGCAATTTAATCGTAAAATATTATTAATATAACTAAATTGAGAGCGTACATTGAGTATAAACATTAGTGAATTTATCTTAAGCAAGCAAACACAACTCGATTGTCACAATGACTAATTTTCAGGCGAAACGAAAGTAGAAAATCGTCTATATCTCGATATATGTTTCTCGCCTAGTCGCGACGAGTTTTATAACAAATACAACAACTCCTAGCCATCAGTTGCCGTTAGAGCGCAGTGCTTTAATCCTTTCAACCCCGAATTAATTCTATTCGCAAGAACAAATTTTCTCTATTCATTATTATTCCTAGTAGTGTAAAGATAATAGCTAATTTTTTTCATAATTTTGCAATAAACTCTTTTAGAGAAATCAAAATGTTGTTTCAGAGAAACAATTCTTTGATATGCCGCATTATTTTTGCTACAGTGCAAACTATACTTTGCATAATTTTCTACTTTTTATACATCGCAATAATGCACGAGAATATTTTGTATAATTTAGAAAAGTATTTTTGTATAGTTTATTTTTAGAATAAGTAAATGCAATATTAGTAAACTGCGATTATTTATGGAACGGCCAGCGTTAAAGTGGAGAGACGACGAGTGTTGACAACTTATTAATGTTTACTACTACAATTAAGTGATAAGATTAAAATCCTGCCTAGAATCGCGACAGGCGGAATTGCCAACAACACTGAGAGAATTTAGAAAATATTATCAAAATTTGGTTACTATTACTAAATGATAGACGTAAAGCGATAATAGCGGGTCAAAGCTATGGCAATACTTATTAATTAATTTAGTTCTGTAAAATAAATTATTTATTTGACAGAAGTAACATTTATTTGCTTCCAGAATATATTTAGTAAATAAAACTTATTGAATAGTTGAGCAAAATAAGCGATTTTGTAATAGTTACAAAATTTTTGATAGGTTCAACCAACTATCTGTAATAATAGATATTGAAACAATGTAATAGCTGCAAATGTATGAATTTTTCGTTGTGCTACAACAAAACATACTTATACTGGTAACAAAATAGAACTCGTACCTATTGAATTTTTTATTATATGGGATATAACGATTTTATAACAATTATCAAATATCTGTTCATAACTGTAATATATTTTATATTAAATACTTAACATTAAGTAACTATTACTAAATTATTTAATTGATGTTACTGTGAATGCAATTACGTCATACTCCCGATTTATTAAATATTTGGTAATTATTATCATATTTAGTATTAGTTACTAAGGATTCAACGAATTTCTGTAATTAAATGCAGTTTGTTATAGTTACCAGTCTTTTCTCTCAGTGTGGCGAAAAATATCGATTAGTTTAGCGTTTGGATCGATTCGAAATATGTATTGTCTCAGATGGCAACGATGGGTGCGAAAGGGTTAAAGAAGAACTAAATTCATATCGCACATTACCTGCCTGTCCCATAATCAGTTCCTACACGAAAAAAACAATTCTGTTGGTGCAACCAAATTTTCGGTTGCTCTGGGATCAGACGAAAACTCGGCTGTAGGAATAGAAAAACTCCTTTATGAGGCTTCTGTATAGTCAATTGTTTTTAGTTGCCTCAGCCGAGTTTTAATATCGTTGAATGTTCAGACGAATATTTTCTGTCCCGACAACAGAAATATTAGTTCTCGTAACAGAGATATCGCTTCTGATCACCTAATTTTCAGTTGATTTGGTTGCACCAACTGAACTTGTTTTTGCGTGTACTCTATGCGAAGCATGGAGAACGATAATATGTGGTCTCATAGTAATTGCTCAGGGCAAAAGTCGCAAACATCGCGGGATTTGCTATTCTACCACTAGGTAGTGGATAGATATCGCGTTAGCAGTAAGAAGAAACTTCGATGCTCTTTATTACGAAGGAAACGCGCGGACTGCGAGGCGGCGGATGGGTAATTAAGGAAACCGTTAACTGCAAAATCCGATTTATCTGCGACGATTGGCTTCGAAGTTTCTCGGTGGGGCGAATGTTCGCGGAGTTTCAATCAGCCCTCCTCGGAACAGGTACTTTGCAGCCGTTGCCCTAAGACGTTCGGAATGCGATTATAATAAATTCCTGGCTAAAAGTCGCCAAAGTACTCCCGAATCCGTTTTCGATGATAATAGCCGGAGGGAAATGGGAAGGAGGAGAAAGGCAGAGTTTTACACCGCGGGTGGTACACTGCTATATAGCGCCGCGGCGCCAGTAGCTTGCATTTTGCAGGCGTCGGGATTGCGATTTGCATGTAAAACGAAATGCTCTTGCCCGCGTATTTACGAGGATGATACCTCAATATTCCTTGTCGAGGAATCCGACCTTCCGCTAAATATTTGTACTTCGCGATGTTGTCCCACGATCATCCGAAACTTTGCGTGGAAGCATCACGAGAGAATGATCTCGCGAAAATATTTAAAGGGGATATTCTCATTTCAAACATCGTTTTATGCGTGATTTTGAGGATTTTTCTTTTTAAGGAACTATGAGACATACAACGCCGTAGTTTTGCACAAATATTTATCTGTACTTTAACTATGTACAGTAATTTCTATAGATTATTATCTTCAATAATAACATAGTTACAAATAATTTAGTGCAACGTTGTTTTGCTGGCACAATTTCGAATGTTGTAGACCTCTGAAACCAAAACGACAAAGAAATTATTGTGCTATAAATTTGTAACTGTCGTTCCTACCACGACTGAGAAAAGATATTAATTTTCTTTTTTTGCAAAACAGCACAACCTAAAAGAGAACAATAATTTTCTAGCAGTTTTTCTCAGTTTTTGGGAATAGTGTCCTTAAAAAATCGAAATATTAAAGATATCAACTTAATCATTGTAGGGACAATAACAGGAAATTTGCTTTATATATTTATAAAAAGAGGAAGTGGTCGAATATCTCTGTCTTGAGATATCATGGAAATTTCATGTATCATAGATATCAATTGGCGTAATTTCATTTCGAGAAAAATATGTTTAAAATTTTCAATACAGTATCAATACAGACAATAGTCTTTTGCAGCTCTTACGTTTAATGTGCTATTCCTGCACCATACAGAGTATCTTTCTTCTCCATATGGAGCATGTGCAAAGCCGATTTTTCTACTTTATGAGATCTTCTTGCTTCTTTTATTTCTTCTGACGACTTAAGCTCAGACCTGTCAATACGCTCTGCGTTTTGAAACTCTGCAAATATTTTCGCTTGTCGACCAATGTTGATAGTTGACATTAAAGTCATAATTCATAAAATTTAATAAAATCCTTCATTAAAAATGCAGACGACTAAGATATTTGCGATTTCAGTACTTATGTTGAATTTTTGTACATATGTTTAGGTTCAAATTAAATTTAGATTTTCGTTATTACTTTGGATATAAGCTTCTAAACATCTTCCTAATAATTCATCTAGCGCTAAATCTCCGTATATAAGTCGAATAATTTGAAAAACTTTGTCGTTTAGAGAAACGATTTACTCGATTATCAAGTCGGCGTTTACTTGAATCAGCTATATATTCATTATTTTGCTCGATCTAGACATGCCATTTTAGGAATAAAGTTTTGAGACATTATGCTTGTAAAATTCGCAATAAAAGAAATCGACTTATTAACTCCTCCTCAAGTGAGAATGCTCTCTTAACACGTTCCGGCGCGTACATACATAAATATCGGATATTGCGTAAACGTAACATATTTGTGCATAATGTCGCGATATTTATATTCTAATAATATTCCAAATAATACAAAAATGTTATTATATCCTTCCCACTCTATTCTTGCAGATTAAAATCTTTTTATTTTGTATTGCAGGTGAATATCTGGGCCATGTTTAGACGCAGCTGGAAACAGGTATGTGTTTTCCAAAACGAATTTTTACTTGTACCTTTTTAAAATATTTTGAACCTTGTTAAATGACATATCCGTACGTAATCCATGAGACGAGTGCAAAGTATTAGTCGTTACGCACCACTATATCACCGTATAATATTATTAGAAGCATTGTGACAACATACCGCGCACATATTGTTTGCTTTTCAATTTCCGTTGGAAAAATTGAAATACAATTTTTCTTTATAACGTTACACATCTGCATCGCCACCAATATAAACCGCTCAACACGACGAGCTCCATTTGTCTCCGAAATATTTCCGTTCTTTCACAAAAATGTGATTTCCTTGCGGCAGGGGGCAAACGTTTTAGCCAAAAAAATGTATGTGGTTATATATACATATATATATATATATATATATACACACATATGTGTGTTTATGTGGGTTGAATGTGAATAATTCAAATGTCATTTTTCGAACGGATTTGTTGGTTTGATGCCCGCATATTGGCAGACAACATATCCGATAAAGTGCCGAAAGCAATCGCCGTCATCCACTCGACATAAAAAAAGGCTTATTTATGGAGCACCCGTCGATATCTGGCCTAACTTTAATTGGCAGCCGGGCGCCCTTACGCTGTGGCAGTCTCCTACCGTTGGGATAAGCGGAGATGATTTATATCGTTCAGTTAACTAACTAGCGTTCCCCTCGGAACCTTCTTCTCTTTTCGCAAAAATATCTTCTTTTTTTCGCAGAAGGATGCGTCTGTCCTAGATGCATGCTGCTAGATTATTCCTATATATGCTGTATACGGCGGTGGATATATATTTATGGATATATTGCGTTTCAAATCAACCAACAGCGCTAGCGATTTAATTAAATTGTCTGTTTTCCGTTTGCGTGTAATTGAAATGCAACTTTCAGAGTGTTAATGTACACGCAAATGTACACGCGCGTCGGTATACGTAAAAATATACTCCGTGTTGCGGGAGAGAAAATATAGTTGAAATGAGCAACTTCGCTTAAACAAAATAATTATTAGTTCCCGCTTTGGAATTATTTTATGATTTCATTTACGCTGCGTGTTTCGCGATCTTACGGTACATATTTATCCGCACACGGTTCAACGTTAAATAATAAATAACTTATATCTGTAATGTGTGCGTCATAATGAATTAATGCACTTTCGTATTTCAGATGATTATGATGATTCTCATTTATTCGTATAACATCAGAAACGAAAGTAACATGTAATTCAATCCTTTAACATAGGCTACATCTCTTGTTAAGGTATTTTATATCCGTGATATAAAAATACCGAAATATTGGTTCCACAATGACATCCATTTAGAGAATGCCAAAGTGGATGTGGAACTTCAAAAATGTCGATAACGTAAAAGTGATCATCAAAGTGTCATGTCAAATAAGTACAGACACGATCACACTACTCTTTTTGTATTTTTTTATACATATATAGATAAATACATATAGATTTTATATAAATATATGTGCGTGCTGTTTTGTTTTACCACACAGGGGGTATTCTCATTCGAAATATCGTCTTATATGTGGCGTTGAGGATTTTCTTTTTAGAAGCTATAAGATATACAATGCTGTAGTTTCGCAGAAATATTAATCGATGCCTAAACTGTATATAGTAATTTATATAGGTCATTATCTTCAATAATAATAAACTTATGAACAATTTATTGCAGCGCTATACGAAAATTTTGCTTGCACAATTGCCACGATTCCGGACGTTGTAAACTTCTGAAACTAAAACGAAAAGGAAATTATTAAACTATAACTATTAAACTACAATTATAAATTTATGGCTATCGTCTCTACCATGACTGAGAAAAATATTAATTTTTTTTACAGAACAACACAATTTAAAAAAGAAAAATTATGTTTTAGTCAGATTTTCTTAGTTTTGGTACTGCTGAAAAAATTGAAATGTTAAAAATATCAATTTCATGATTGGGTGATAAGGACGATAAGAGGAAGTATACCTATTTCATTTTTGAAAGTAGCAGTCGATCGGCGACATGGTAAACAATTCACAAGACATTGTTTCAAGAAAAACACGCTTAAAAAGATTTTATACTTAAAAATTTCATCGATAAAATACTGACTTTCTTTTTGCAAAGTTTACGTTGTATTGATTGCACAGAATTACAAATACTTTTACACACTAAATGTACATGCAATAATGAATTGGAGTATTGCTCAATATAAAAATGATAAAAGATTTAAAAATTAACATGTCGAGCTATCAATTGGCACAAATATTTATTTGATACAAAAATTCTACAGTTTGTATGTACCGTACCGTACGTCTAGTTGTTTCGCTAAAAAATTCTGACGTTTCTATATTTGTACAACTGAATATAAAAGCTTAATAAAAAAAGTTTGCAAAAAGATCTCTATATGTACGTGGTATATAAAGCAAGACAATAAAACAAAACAACACACATTTATATAAGATTTATATACAAGAAATAAAAAAAGAAATACGAAAAGAATAATACAATCGTGTTAGTGGCGATATCACCCTTAAGTTAACAATATTTTTCAAGTTCGTGATCCACTTCAGCATTTCGTTTTCAATATAATTGAAAAAAATATAATCTTGTATAATCTTATTCCCAAGAGGCGAATAGCTCGAATAAATAAGTTATATCTTCTTAAAAATTGCATATATCATACATTTATTTATCTCAAACATAAGCTTGTCACTTAAAAATCAATTAGAAAAATTCGCAAAATTTTCTGACAGAATTATTCTAAAAAAATCGTTTATGGCACAAATGTTTGGGAGTTAAAGTTAAAAGTTAAAGTCGAGAAGTTAAAAATGTCAAACACAACTAAGTTCATACTAATAATTGTCACTTGAAACTTGTCTTATGTAAGACAAAACAGAATTTTATTTGGAGTTATGGCTAAATTTTTCAGTCGAATTGTATTTGTGACATTATATCTATAATTGCGGTTTCAACTGAAAAACTTTCATCTAATTCTAAACTCAAATCTGAGTATTTCACTTGAAAGAAGTCTCAAGTAACGACTATTAATACATGCCTAAGAAATTTAAAATTCTTCTTAAAAGAAGATTACTAATACGTGCACATCTGATCTCATCTCAGTAATCAACTATTGAAGAGAGCTTTGGTTAATGGTATATATTCTATGAGGTCAAAGTGAAAAAGAAGAACTATTAAAGAATGCAAAATCTTTTAATTTTCTATATATTTTCGGTTGATCTTTTTCTAATTTGACCTTTTTTAAGATCTCATCTTGAAATAGATTTCAAGGTAGAATTATTGAATATATAGGTAGAGTTATTGAAGAACTGTTTGAGCTAAAATTTTCAGCAAAAAGGATGCATTTTTAGAAGTACGTGTCACGTCTTAGTTGATTTTAAAACGTGTTAATTGTCCTTTTTGGGTCAATGGATTTAACCACTTTACCCTGGGATGGACAAGTTCGTGTAATTGTGTGTGATTAAATGTGTAAATGTAAATGTGTGTACAAAATAATTATTTTACTTACTGATTCTGGTTGATTCTTTCTTTAAGAAATTTTAAATTACTTGAAGTCCTTCTTGTGCTATAGTTATAGAGAGACTGAAGAGCTTGGGATCGGACTTAAGAGGTTGGAGAAGGTTTGAGAATGTAACGTGACACTTAGGTCAGAGGATATGTTAAGAAACAAACCTTTATCTTCCCAGTATCTTATTTACGACTTTAATGTTTTATCTTAATGATCCAATTGTTATATGTATTGTTTGTTTTTATACGTTTGATTAATTAATTATAACTGACTGATCGATTGTCTAATTGACTGATTCCTTATCTTTAGTCTGATTTTGTTTCTATTATTACTTCTTGTTTTAAGTTTGATTTTTGTCTTACTACTCTCTTACGGACTGTCACTACTTCTACTTTTTTTGTGTGCAGTCGCACCCGCTTTTATAGGCAGGTGGCGAGATACCCCCGCGTGAGTTCTCACCACCTTTTAGTAGAAGGGGGAAGATGCTTCTCACGACATGTGAGTAATAATCAATAGTGAAATTTCGACACCTTATTATCAGTCCATTGTTCTTTGACCACCCAGGGCATTTATTGCATTCCTGGTGGTAACATAAGGTGCACTCGGTCGAACTAAAGAGAAGTTACGTCGGACGTAACATACGACTATTAATACGGGCCTTATTATTTTATTATCAAATCGACGATTTAGGTGTATTTTCGTAATTTCGCTCAATCAAAAGACGTCATTTTAGAAATATATTCTTAAGATATCATAATTTTCAAAATATGCAATAAAGAAGTAGTTTCAAAATAGTGTGCAATAACCAGACAGAAATTGTCCTGCAAACTTTTTATATATTATTTATATATATATCATATTTATTTATATATCATATATTTTCATATATTATACTTTTCATATATTACAACAATGTTCTTGCATATGTTACTGCACAATATTCTTTAAAATTTTACTAAACGAAGCAAAGATTATACGCACAGATTGTATCACGAATTGTACACGTTTGATGTGTACAATAAAACTTTGGTATCGAGCAAATATTTACGCTAATTGGCAATTCGATATGACGATTTTGAATATTTATATCATTTTTGTCACACATATTGACTTATATTGACTTTATTTTTATACATACTTTCATTGTGTAAAACCACTTATAATTATGTACTACTATTAGGAAGATATAATAATATTATTATTCTACTTTAATGTTATAAATAGTCTCTTTTATTTCCATTTTCTCAATATGAGGTTTAATCTTTCTTTGACTTAGATGATTTTTTAATGTACAAAAGCTTATATTCAGTCTGTGAAACGGATTTTTAATTAATAGGGATAGAATATATATATTACAAGTTTGTTTATGGCATAAAGTTTGGTTTCTCTAGTGACAGTGTTTGCGCACGATAACGTTTGAACATCGATTTTATGTGTCATTCATCTGAAAAACCGATATGAATAAGA